GCTGTTAGGGATGTTGTTGCTTTTGTTTTGTGCTTGCGTGGGTTTTGTCTTCTGTGTTGTTTTGCTTTGTTCTGTCAGCACCGATATAGCAGGATAAAAAGGTGTGGCTGGGGTTGAGCCTCTCGATGAGCCAGCCACAGGGCAGAGCCACCAACAAACAGGCCAACGACAATCAAGACCAAAAAGAACAGAAGAGCACACATAAGCCACACAAGGACCATTCCTAGAACACCCAGCTCAGGAGATGAAGGAGCCTCTACTACCGAATCCCACAGGACTCCTACCACATAAGGTCGACTCCTGCCACATAAGGTCACCACGCAAAGACAGAGAGTGAAATCAGATCTATCTAATATGTAGAAACAGACAAAAGAACAGCTAAAATGGCAAGACAAAGAAACAACCCCCAAATGAAAGAAAAGGAGGAACCCCAAGAAAAAGAGTTTATTGAAATGGAGGCAAGCAATTTATCAGACATAGAGTTAAAAGTCACGGTTATGATGATGCTCAAGGAACTTAGAATTACAAAGAACTTGGGAGGAAGTGCCTCAGCCCACAAAAAGACAGAGAGACCATCAATAAGAACCACTGTCAAAGATATGGATCATTCTCAAAGACGGACCGCATGGTAGGATGCAGAATAAGTCTTAATAAATTCAAGAAAATTAAGATATCAAACATTTTCTTGGATCACAACATCATGAAACTCAAAATCAACCTCAGTAAAACCAGATGGAAATGAAGAATGCACTATGTGAAAGGAAGAATATGCTAGAAGGAATTAAAAGCAGGCCAGAGGAGGCAAAAGATCAAATCAGCGAGTTAGAAGACAAGGTGAAAAAAACACCCAATGAGAGCAACAAAAAGAAAAAAAGACTTAAAATGAAAAAGGATGATTTAAGGTAGTTCTCAGCTTCATTTTTAGCTTAATACAGAAGTTAATGTAGGCCAAGACAGAAGTTCTCAATTTTAGAAGAAAACTCATACTAACTTTGTACTCTTAAAAATTATTGGAGATACCCAAAGAGTATTATTTTTGCAGGACATAATAGAACAATCTGACAAACAACATACAAGACCAGTACACTAAAAACTACAAAATAATGCTGGAAGAAATGAAAGATCATAAATAAAAGAGATATACCATGTTTAAGGACAAGCAGACTTAATATTAAAACGTCAATTCTTGCCAAAGTTATTTATAGAATCAAGGCAATCCCAATCAAAATCCCAGCAGACTACTGTGCAGAAATTGTCAAACTAATGCAAAAATCCTATGGAAATGCAAAGGAACCTAGAACAGGGCCAACTTTGAAAATAAAGAACAAAGTTGGTAAACCCACACAAGTCTGAGACCCATTACAAAGCTACAGTTATCCAGGCAATGAGGTAGCGTCAGTAAGACAGACATCTAGATCAATGGAATAAAACAGGGTCCAAACAGAGACCCACACACACAGACAACTGAGTTTTGACAAAGGTTCCAAGGCAATTCAGTGGAGAACAGATGGTCACTCCAAAAATGGTGTTGGAACAACTGCATATGCCTATGCCAAAAAGAACTTCTATCGTACCTCACACCATGTACAAAGCTTAACTCAGAATGGAGCACTGACCTAAATGCTAAAACCATAAAACCTCTAGAAGAAAACATTGGTAAACATGGGTTATGTATATATTAATTACAGACAACTTTAAAAAGCATTATCTATAAAAGAACAAATAAACAAAATGGACATTACCTAATTGAAAAACTTATGAACTTTAAAAGACATTGTTTAAAATATGGAAAGTCAAGACTGGGAGAAAATGTCTGCAAAACTATTAAAGGTTGTACAATATATAAAAACTTCTAAAGCTCAATAATAAAAACAAATCCTTCAATTAAAATGGGAGATTCAGAAAGATACTTCACCAAATAAGATATACTAAAAGCAAAACAGTGCATGAAAAGATCCTCAACATCGTTAGTAATTATGAAAATTCAGGTTAAAAGCATAATGAGATACCCAAACACCCCTACTGGAATGGCTACAGCTTTAAAAGAATGACCATAAGAATTTTAAAACTTTAAAAGAATGACTATACCAACTTTTGGTGAGAATGTAAAAAACTAGAATTTTCATATACCGCTGGAAGGAGTATAAGATGTAATGTCTTTGGCAGTTTATTAGGTTGTTGGCAGTTTCCTCAAAAGAAACCGAGACCTGCTATATTATTCATTCCAATCCTAGGTATCTGACCAAGAGAAAAGAAAGCATAAGGCCACATAAATACCAGTACACAAAGGCTCCTGACAGCGTTATTTGTCATCTATATTGTGGACAATGCAAATGTCCACCTAAATGTCCACAACATAAATAACAGACTGCCGTATATCTATCCAAGGAAATACGACTTAGTAATTTTAAAAAGTATGATTATGAATGATACACACTATAAGAGATGAATCTCAAAATAACTACACTGGGTAAAAGAAGACAGTCCCACACCACGATCTCCCACCTCCGAACCTCCAAAAGACACACTGTATAATTCCATTTACACAAAGTTCTAGAAAACACCAAATCCACGGTGACAGGAAGTAGATCAGTGCCTGCCTAGAGTGAGGATGGGGCAGGAAGGAGGGAGGACAAAGGGCACCGGGGAACAAACGATGCATCCTTCTGTGTTCTGACCGAGAGGATGGTACCACAGGTACACGCAGGCCAAATACTCTCTCTGCAGTATTTGTTGTATGATAATTATACCTCAATAAAATTGTTTAGGAAAATTAAAGGTGGCTTTCAAAAGAACTTCTGGTATAGTGGATAAGACAGAAACTAAATGAGAGTGGTTAAGGAGTGTGAAATGAGATGTAGATTGTATTGACAGACTATTTCAAATTTTTTGGCTTTTAAGGGAATCACTTAAATTGGGGAGTAACAGAAGAACAGAGTTTATAAGCACTGGAATTTTTAAATGGTAAGAAATAAAGAAGTTAAAAATTCTAAATAATAATTAAAAGACCCTGAGAAGGAAGGAAGAAGGTGAAATCTAGAACACAGGTAACAGCATTAGTCCTTGAGAAGAAAAGGAATTTAGTAACAGGAGGGTAAGCACAGGATGGAATCAAAAGCAGCGTGTAAATTTAAGAAATGTGAGGATATGGTGAACACACAATACAACACACAGAACATGTATTATAGAATTGTACCCTTGAAGGCTATAAAATTTTATTAACCAATGTTACCCCAATAAATTCCATAAAAATGTTTTTAAAGTATTAAGAGGATAATAAATATATTATCTCTAAATATCGTGAGAGATGGTCGTTTGCTGAGGGTATATGTCTGAAGATTTCAAAAGTTTGAAGGGTAAAGGAAGTACAACTCTCACTGTGAGGCTCAGCAGATTGAGCACCAGCCTGCAAACCCCGTTCCAGGGCATATACCTGGGCTGCAGGCCAGGTGTCCCTCCCTTCCCATCTCTCTAAAAATAAAATAAATATGTTTTTTAAATGAAAGTATAAAATACTCATTACAAAAGTTGGAAAAATGAACTTTCCAGAGAACCACAGTAATAAGATTGTTGGGCTCAGTTAAGGTTGCTAATCAATAATCTTTAGAGGTATCTGCCAAGTTAGTTCATCTTCCAACATGATTTAGCTGTTCAACAAAGATTTATCCAAGGAAAGAACTTTGCTCAATGGTTGTGATAAAACACACATACCCACACAAAGTGAGATAAACACATTCCAGGTATTTGAAAGAGGGTAACAACAGACAATCAATTCTATACTGGGTAAAAAGGAGATAGATGAGAAAAATAAAAGCCAATAGATTAGAGCTCTAAATAAAGCAGAATCCTTGCAGTGCAGACATTGGTGCAAATGAACTAGACAGATAAGACCGTTGTTGCAGACTAAAATGTCTAAATCAGTACTTAGAAATAAGAATTTTGGTGGTGATAGCATTTAGGGCATGACCAAGATGATGGGTGTAGAGAAAAATTCTGCTTGTTGTATCCTAGAAGACAGGCCTATTTGATTTACATCACTACCCATTCACATGGTCTTTAAATCTGCCAATCTAATCCTTCCGATTACAATCTTGTCCAAACTCAGCAAGTATCAATATTCCTTCCACAGCTCCAGATTTGCTAAGAAATAAGAAATTCCACAGTAAAGATGGTGCTTTAAGTCAGGGATCAGTTAAACTTGTTCTGTAAAGGGCCAGATAATACATATTCCAGGTGTTTTGGGCCACACAGTCATACCTATTCTGTCAACTCTACTCCATGCTGCCACTGTAGTGCGAAAGTGACCAGACGACACGTGAATGAATCAGCATGCTCACTAAAACTTTACTGATGTACACTGAAATTTGCATTTCATATAATATTCATATGTCATGATATATTATTCTTTTTATTTTCCCAACCATTTAGAAATGTATAAATCATTCTTAGCTCACAGGCCATATAAAAACAAGAGCCAGGCCAGATCTGGTACATGGGTCATAGTGTGCTAACTCAAGCTTTACCTGAAAAGTTAAATATTAATATAACAGTATAAATACAGTTGACTCCTGAACAATGTAGAGGTTATGGGTACCACCCAGCCCCACAAATGCACTGTGGAAAATTCATGTATAATTTCTGAATCCCCAAAACCATCCCTTAATATCCACAGAAGATTGGTTCCAGGCCACCCCTCCCCCAGCAGATCCCCAAATCTGCAGATCCTCAAGTCCCCTATATAAAATGGCCTAGATCAGTGCATACAGGCAGCCCTCTGCACCCACAGAAACCCGTAACTGTGGAACGAAAACAGTACAGGCATTTGCTAAGAAAAATCCTTATATAAGTGGATCCACCCAGTTCAAACCCATGTTGTTCAAAGGTCAACTGTACAACATATTATTTAAACATAAATAATATTTTTAAGTAATGAGTTTCAAATAACTGCTTCATGTATTATTTCTGAAATGTATACATGCTGGTATTTAAAGTTACAGTACCTTTTCTCTGATACCCCTTTTAACTTGCTCATCTTGAGTTACTTTATTTCACCATTGCAGATAATCTAAAAAAAAAAAAAAAGTTAATTAAATGTAAGTCTGTTTTCTATACCTTAGATGTCATAAAAGCCGTACAACTGAAAGTTTCTATTATGAGAAACACAAGGTTACACTGGAAACCACAGAAGAATGTTTGCGTTCTATGTGCTTCTGGCAAAGTCACTTCAAAGCACAGTGTGTGCCTATTACCTAAAATCCACCAGTAAAATGTTACCGAAATCCTGGAGCTAAAAAGAACATCGGAACCTAACTTCCTACAATTTACGATCTAGTGTTAAGACTTCTCTGGAGACAAAATGACCCTTCCTGATCTAATACTCTTTTTTAAATACTCAAACCAACACAGTGGCAAACACTGGTAACAATGTATCATTCTTCCTATATAAGAACACTTTTAAGTTAATAACAACCTGTTCCAACAGAGTAAAAACCTGTAACATCATTTCATTTAATGTCCATAATACATATTCAATCAATACAGGATTCATCTTCACAAAGCACATACTATACTTTTTTAAAAGATTTTATTTATTCATTTTTAGAGAGGGGAAGAGATAGACAAAGAGAGGGTGAGAAATATCAACGTGTGGTTGCCTCTCGTGCTCCCTGTTCTGCGGACCTGGCCTGTAACCCAGGCTTGTGCCCTGATTAAGAATGGAACTGGTGACCCTTTGGTTCATAGCCAGCACTTTATCCACTGAGCCACACCAGCCAGGGCCATACTACGCATTTAAAAACCTTAAATCTTGACTCACAAAATTTTGATAATTTTTCAGATTTTGTAACTCTTTACCCAAAAAACTTTATCCTTTAACTTTATATATCAATGTTTAATGAAGCAAAATTTTGCAGCATCACTAAAAAACAGACTACCACCAATTCAACAAGTTAATCACATACTCATCAATGTTTAGGAATGCTGTGTATTTCAAAGAAAACAAGCATGCAAAGGAGCAGACATGGTATGAGAAGATAGAGGTATTCTGGATGTTTTTCTTCAATAACAAAAAACTTTTACTTCAAAAAACATGCTGTTTTATTTTTCTTATTAACTCAGTTATTAAAGAGGAAGCTTTATTTTGAATTATGTATAAAAATTATATGATGTTTTTAAAGTTGTAAGAATTTTAAATTTTTCTATTCTTTCATTCAACAGACTTTTTAAAAAAAGACTAGAAAATCAAAATAACTTTCCCAATATCCAAATTAATTAAGACTTACTATATATTTGGGGCAGAAGGGTGAGTGGGGAAGGATCCTATGCGTTTTCAGAAGTGCTGTTGTTGCCAGGCATAAGTGAACTTACTTCTTGTTGAGTAGTATGACTTTCTCTAAAACTACACTGGCCACACATCTCATGAAAAGTTCGCTATAAATTTGGAGTCGCGAAGATTAATGCTGGGCACTTACATCATTCCTATTTCAACAGTTAAGAAATGATTCAGACTCCAACTCACAATAAAATAGTAGTTTAACCACAGGCATTTCTCTCCACTCTCTCCTGGGACTAGATTAAAGTAGACAGTAAAGAAATAAAGTTATGTTGGACCCTGGCTGGGTAGTCAGTTGCTTGGAGCATTGTCCCAATACATCAAGGTTGCCAGTTCAATCTCAGGTCAGGGCACATACAAGAATCAACCAATGAATGCATAAATAAGTGGAACAATAAATCAAAGACTCTCTCTCTCTTCCTGTCTCTAAAATCAATTTTTTAAAGTTTTTTCCAAATTCTCATATAAATTATATCTTAAACAATATTCTTATTAGCATTATGTTGGCTTATAATTTTTAGCAGCTTTGTTGTTTCACATTCTAAAATCTACATGACATTGGGTTCAGCAGTAGGCCATTGATTCTTAGTTATTATAACAGAAGCACGCAATAAAAGAAAAAAGATGAATTGGACTTCAAAATTTAAAACTTTTGTCGATCAAAGGACATCATCAAGAAAGTGGAAACAAGCTACAGAATGAGAGAAAATACTTTAAAATCATATATGTGGTGAGGGGTTATTCAGAATATATGCAGAACTCCTACAACTCAACAACCAAAAGACAATCCAATTTAAAAATAGATAAAAGATTTGAATAAACATTTCTCCAAAGCAGATATACAAATAGCCAATGAGCACATGAAAAGGTGTTCCACCACCATTCCTAGGGTAGTGCAAATCAGAATCGCAGCATTATTCACACCTACTATGATGTCTGCAATCAAAAAAGTGCAAAGTCACCAATGTTGTCAAGAATGGAGATAAGCTAGGACCCTCATATGCTGCTGCTGGGAATGTAAAACAGTACGACCACAGTGGAAAACGGTCTGGCAGTTCCTCAGAAAGCTAAGTGTAGAATTTCTATATGGCCAAGCAATTCTACTCCTATGAACCCAAAATAACGGAAAACAGGGACTCAAACATGTAATCGTATATCAATGTTCATGGCAGCATTATTTACAATAGCTAAAAAGTAGCAACCACCCAGGGCCCCCTAACAGATAAATGGGCCAAAAATGTGGTATATAGGTAAAATGGAGTATCATTCTGCCATAAAAAGTGACTTCCCTGCCCTGACCAGTGTGACTCAGTTGGTTGGGCATTATCGCGCAAAGCAAAAGGTCACCGGTTCGAGTCTGGATCAGGACACCTGCCTCCGTTTCTGGTTCACTTCCCCAACGGGGCACAGACGAGAGGCAACCAATCGATATTTCACCCTCACACTGATGCCCCCCTCCCTCTCTTTCTCCCTCCTTTCCCCTCTCTCTAAAAATAAATAAATACAATCTTAAAAAAAAGAAAAAAGGAATATTCAGATACATGCTACATAAATTAACCCTGAAAACATTGTGCCAAGTGAAATAAGCCAGAACTAAAACAATAAATATTGTATGCTTTGCTTCCAATTATATAAAAAAAAATCTAGAATACACAAATTCATAGAAATACAAAGTAGATTAAAAGTTATCAGAGGCTGGAGGTAAGGGGGAATGAGTAGTCATTGCTCAATGGTAATTACAAAGTATCTATTTGAGGTAATGAAATTTTTTGGAAATAGACAGTGGTGATGGTTACACAACATTGTGAATATAATTAACGTCACTGAATTTATAAGTTTAAAATGGCTTATTTATTTTTTGGATTTTATTTATTTATTTTTAGAGAGAAAAGGAGGGTGAAAAGGAGGGAGAAAAACACCGATGTGTGAGAGGAATACCAATGTGTGAGAGACACATGGCTCGGCTGCCTCCCACACGCCCCCAACTGGGGACCCGACCCACCCCCCAGGCGTGTGCCCGGACTGGGAGTCCAACCGAAAGGCAGGGAGTCGAACCTCGGGATCAGTTCACAGGCTGGCACTCAACCCACTGAGCCACCCCAGCCAACGTAAGCTTAAAATGGTTTAAATGGCAAATTTTATAATGAATATATTTTATCACAAAAAAATTAGCCTACATTATTTATTTAAACTAAGTCTAGCAAGCCTATCTTTTTAAAAAAACTGAAAACAGTTATTTAACAGAAATTTATTACCTTTATCATGAGTCTTTATGGCAAAAATCATGAAAAGAAGCTTAGTTACCTGAATGGTAAACTAAGTTAATTACCTTTTTTTTCTCCAAATAAGGTTGATTAAAGTTTTTTTTTATTTGCTTTAAATAAATGAAAATAAAAATACTCTTGCAGATACCATATACACAGGACATACTTTATTAATATCTTGTATAATAAAAAGCTGTGGTATGACTCTGAGGCCTACTTGAATAAAGTAAAAATAAAATAGGAAATTTAAGAAAAGGAAAATCTGTTTTTTCCACCTGCACAACTAGCTCACATCAGACTCTACATACTTTGCGGAGATGGAGATCCGCACGAAAAAGCAGATTAATCAGATGGCCAAAGTGATTAGACGCACAGAAAAACTATCATTATCAGAAGAGCAACAGCAGTCATTACAGAAGCACTCCGTTGCCAGGCCTAATGCTTCCAGACGCCGCCCTGACAGCTGTGAGCCTCACAGGCCCCAGGCCCCACGAGAGTCTCCCACTCTGGCCGTCTGCGCCCCGTCCGGTGAGAAGGCTCCTCACCCGGCTGGTTCCTACTGTCAGCCAAACCTGCTGCACTGCATTCAGTCCAAAGCTGAACTGTTTTAGTTCAGAGGGTTACTTCATCCTTTTGTTACTACGAAGCCTGTCTCCCACAGGCCCCCTGGCTGGTTCGCTCTGTTACCAAGTGTCACCCCCATGTGGCGCCCAGGATCTTCCTCTCCCAGGCTGTGAGCAGACGTGACTGATGAACAGCTGTCCTCGCCTCTGACCAGTGTCAGGTAGCACCCATTTCATACTGTTCGGGACAGAAGATCCCTACTGCACCAATGGACTGAATTGGAGGTGATAAGAACAATTAGTATACCTAAACTTTTCTGTCCAAACCAGTATCATAGCTATAGATGTTACCATTCTCATGGAAAAGTACCCCAAGACCTAAAAATTATTTCACGGGTCCTCCAGTGTATAAAGATCAAGAAAGGCTGGTCTAGTCTCTTGGGGGCAGGGCGGGTGCAAACAAGGCCGGGTCCAGTCCCGTCTAGTTCTAGAGCTGGTATGTGTAGCAAAAGATTTCTGATCACCACAGCCTGCTGACCACAACAGTTTCCTGATTTTAAAACATGAGTGTGATTCTACAAATGAAGATCTGGGGGAAACTTCACAATTACATAGGAGGCCTCTTAACCTAAAAGAAACAATACCACCCTTGGTTCCTCAGTTCTGTGCAGAGATTTGGGGAGCTGTTCCTGAAAGCTCAACCTAGAGTCTCTCTACACCTCTCAGCGGTTCTGGGTGGGAGGATGGGAACATGAAATGGCACCGTCTGGCAGTGCCTGGGAAGGCTGAACACAAAGTGTCCACACGCCTCAGATATTCCACTTCTAGGTGTATGCCCCCAAAATAAAAACCTGTAACCCACACAAAAACCTGTACACAAATATTCGTAGCACTAGTCATAATAACG